GTTAGTCTCGCTAAAACTCGAGAACGGCTGGACCGATTTGGCTAATTTTGGTCTTGAACTATTTGTGGAAGTCCAGAGAAAATTTTAAAAGGTTTAAAATATGAAAATGCTCGGAATTAAATAAACATAACAATTTTGTTTTTCCTTTGACGTGTCCCCCGTCGGACGGATTCCTTTTGTTTGTTTTAAGTTTATTTTATACAAAAGCTTAGGTCTTTTATTTATCGATTGAGGCACTACGAAGTCTGCCGGGTCAGCTAGTTACATATATAAAAAAAGAAAGAATTTCTGTATATTTGATGTTTGATATAACGCTTCAAAACAATTGATTGAAAAACTACTACCTAAAAATTACTAATTACGATAAGATTGTAATTGATGATTCAGTTTTTTGTTGTTGTGTTGTTTATGTTTTTTATTGCGTAGTTGGGTGGACGAGCTCACAGTCCACCTGGTGTGTAACTGAAACCCATAGACATTTACAACATAAATGCGCCACCCATCTTGAGATATAAGTAATAAGGTCTCAGCATAGTTGCAACGGCTGCCCCACCCTTCAAACCGAAACGCATTACTGCTTCACGGTGGAAATAGGCAGGGTGGTGGTACCTACTCGCGCGGACTCCCAAGAGGTCCTACCACCAGTAATTACACAAATTATAATTTTGCGGGTTTGATTTTTATTACACGATGTTATTCCTTCACCGTGGAAGTCAATCGTGAACATTTGTCGAGTACGTATTTCATTAGAAAAATTGGTACCTGCCTGAGATTCGAACACCGGTGCATCGCTCAACACGAATGCACCGGACGTCTTATCCTTTAGGTCAGCTTTACTTGTTCGCAGGTTTCAAGAAAACCTTTATTTAATAGGTTGTATGTAATTTAAAGTAGTTGATGTAAAACGAAGCCTTTCTTGCGCATGAGGTCAGAAATTGTTTCACTCACATTAAAATTTTAGTGTTTCAAGGTGTACGACCTCTGTGGTAATTGCCGTTATTGCATTGTGCATGAAACTCGTATTCATCGCGATAAGAGGCAATCAAAATGTTACTTATTCGAATAGCAGAATGTTATGGAATGATATTTTGCCTTCATATTGAACTAGATTTCCAGAGCTCGTTAGACAGCGGCTTAGCTCTGCCTCTGGCATTTTCTGAAGTCCCTGGGTGACAGTAATCACTCAACATCAGATGGATACGGCCCACCTCATCTGCCTACAAGGGCAATAAAAAAAAGTTAATAAATAGAATGCGTTTTATTTATTTATTTAACTTTATAAAAAAACAAGCAGCCCGCCCCGGCTCCGCTCGGGTCTTTAACAAAAATTTCAACGATATTTGACGTTGTTTTATTTTTGTTAAATAAAGAAACACTTATTGCGGCATAACATAATAGTAGTAGTGTATGCTATCGCGACACTTTTTGCAAAAAATAATGTGTTCTACAAAGTCGTAGTACATTATTTTATTCTATCATCAATAATTTTCGCTGGGCACGCGATATAAAGAATATTTTAGGTACTTTTTTTACACCTTAGGTTACATTATTGGAGTTTTAGTAAGGATCCCTAATTTTTTTCAAAAAAGATTATAGCCTATATCACTTAAAAATAGTGTAGCTTCCAAACAATAAAATAATTTTTAAAATCGGTGAAGTAGTTTCAGAGCCTATTCAATACAAACAAACAAATATTTCTTCTTTATAATATTGGTATAGAAGTATAGATAGATTTAATAATAATACCCTCAACAAGAAATAAAATGATTTCGTACAAAACATATTCAATTAAATCTCTATGAGAATTATGTAGACATCACGTTTACCGGAAGCGCCTTGATGACATTGCTCTGACCGCAACGTTCGCGTCTTGAATAATCAATGAATCATTTGTATTCATTCTACTGTCGATGGTTCAATTATATTTGACGCTATAACTGGACATTTTCAACACTTCTACTAAGAGTATTAGGAGAACATTAGTCAGTCGATGGTTGAATGCAAATATTTAATTAATTATTTTGTATTTACTACGTTTTTCTGTTTTTTTTTTTTCTCAAACTGTTTTATTTTTGTTTTTGTTTTAAGTTTTATTTTAATTATTTAATTCTAGGCGATGCGACGCCCCAATCGTTTGTAGTTATTTAAATGCGGAGACATTTAAATGGTGTTTAGTTGTAAGGTTAGAGTTTATATGTTTAAGTTCACTGTTTGTCTTCCTAATAAAATAAAATAAAAATAAATTAATTAACGATGTTTGATTAAGCGTGGAAATATTTTGTATCGTAGGCCAATACTGAAGAAGAGCTTTATTTAATATAAAGGGCATTGTTAAAATCAGCTGACGCGCGAGGTAAACGACCTCGTGTGGCACGGGGAGTGCACTGTCATCGTTGTTGGGTACTGCTTCAAGTAATGTGGACTGGCACAACATTAAATTGTATGTATTCATAATACTGATTGCTCAGTAGTCAAAACACGAACCTAGTCACTAAAATGTCTATAATATAATTATAGTTATATGTATTATTTTACACGCTTTTATTAGCTTGGTAAATATGTATGTTTGTATGTGTCGAACGGAATCTTTGAACGTCATTCTCAAACGACTTTAAGACGTACCATTAACTTACAAATTTTCAGACGCATCAAGTACCGATGACATTATAATGATTCTATGGCTTCGCTCTACCTGATAGTATGAACAGGATAAAATTGTAAATACGAAATTTATTGTTTGTTCGATTTGCTATTTAAACGTGTTACATATATAGTTTTTAAACTACATATGTATGTACAAGTATATTCTTTAAAATGTTACATTTTCTCATCTCTGTTTTATCGTTGTTTTTCTTTTAGTAAAACTAAACCTTCAAATTTTATTTTATCGATTGATTGAGCAATAAAGACTCGCCCTGTGAATTTAGGCATAACACCTCGAGGTTACTAGAATAGCTAGGGAAAAAAAAACACTAACTAGATGTTCAGTAGTTAAAAAAAAAACCAAAATATCTAATCTGGTTTTCCGTACACTTTATTTATTTAATTACTAGCTGACCCGGCAGACTTCGTAGTGCCTCAATCGATAATTAAAAGACCTAAACTTTATTTATTTCCGATAATTTCCATATTTATCTACCTTTTAAACCTTCTGTGGGCTTCGACAAATAATTCAAGACCAAAATTAGCCAAATCGGTTTAACCGTTCTCGAGTTTTAGCAAGACTAACGAACAGCAATTAATTTATATATATATAGATAATTTTCATATTTATCTACCTTTTAAACCTTCTCTGGGCTTCGACAAATAATTCAAGACCAAAATTAGCCAAATCGGTCCAGCCGTTCTCGAGTTTTAGTGAGACTAACGAACAGCAATTCATATTTATAACTAGTCAGGTCATAAGTATTGTCACACAGTAAAAACTTTTCTTTTAGAATGCTGGCCACACAAAAGTTTATTGAATTCGAATTTCGAATTGTTCATGAAAATAAAAATGTATACTTTTAGAATTTTACTCATTTTTAAATATGGAGTGGACGCTTAAAGAAGACCGTGTTGCAGTTATTGCGTTGCATCGTTGCGGTTACGCGCCAATTAAATTTTTTAACATACTGAAAAATTTGAATATAACCAAAAGATTCGTTTATCGTACCATCAAACGATACAATGAAGACTCTAGTGTAGATGACAGGTCAAGAAGTGGTCGCCCTCGGTCTGTTAGGACTCCAGCAGTGATAAAAGCTGTGAAGGCGCGAATTCAAAGAAATCCCAAACGTAAGCAGAAACTGTTGGCCCTTCAGATGGGGTTAAGCAGAACCACGGTGAAAAGGGTGTTAAATGAAGACTTAGGGCTTCGGGCATATCGAAGAAAAACAGGACATCGTTTGAATGCTCGTCTAATGGACCTGAGACTGAAGAGATGCCGCGCTTTGTTGAAGCGGTACGCGGGAAAAAAATATCGGGAAATTCTTTTTTCGGATGAAAAAATTTTTACCGTAGAAGAGAGCTACAACAAACAAAATGATAAGGTGTACGCACACAGTAGTGAAGAAGCGAGCAACCGTATTCCGCGTGTCCAACGAGGTCATTTTCCATCCTCGCTCATGGTATGGTTGGGAGTTTCTTATTGGGGCTTAACAGAGGTACATTTTTGTGAGAAAGGTGTAAAAACGAATGCAGTTGTGTATCAAAATACAGTCCTGACGAACCTTGTGGAACCTGTTTCTCATACCATGTTCAATAACAGGCACTGGGTATTCCAACAAGATTCGGCGCCAGCTCATAGAGCGAAGAGCACACAAGACAGGCTGGCGGCGCGTGAAATCGACTTCATCCGGCACGAAGACTGGCCCTCCTCCAGTCCAGATTTGAATCCGTTAGATTACAAGATATGGCAACACTTGGAGGAAAAGGCGTGCTCAAAGCCTCATCCCAAGTTGGAGTCACTCAAGACATCCTTGATTAAGGCAGCCGCCGATATTGACATGGACCTCGTTCGTGCTGCGATAGACGACTGGCCGCGCAGATTGAAGGCCTGTATTCAAAATCACGGAGGTCATTTTGAATAAACTTTAGTGTAATAAGAATCTATGTTTTGTTAAGTTCATTTTGGTATATGAACGGTTACATAATGAATAAACTTGTTTCAATTATTTTACATTAAACATGTGACAGAATTTATGACCTGACTAGGTAGTTTTACTGAATGAAACATCTCAACTATACCTGTCTGTGTTTTTTATACCTATTATACATAAAAAATAAGCAGTAAAATTTCGGTTATTCCCATATATTGTGTGTTCATAGTGCATAACGTAATTTTCTAAATAACTTTAAACAAAAATTTCGTTATCGTGTTGTAGAGGTACCGTGTTATAAGAGGGTTTATGGGGAATATTTATTTTCGCGTTAAGAGTGGAATCGGGTTTTAAAATACCGTGTTACATATAGGAGGGTAACCTGTACCTAATGCTTCTTTTGTTTGTCTTTATTTCCAGTTATAATGTTATTCGCGTGGTGCGTGCTTGCGTGCGTGACGGCGGCGGATGCGCTGCGTGTCGGGGCTGGCATAGCTGACGTCACTGGCCCACCGGCTGAAATTGCTTTTGTAAGTACATATTCGCTCCCGTTTACTACATTTTCTTGTTTGCCTGCGTTGGGAAATGCATTTGTAGCGGTGGTCATCATAGTACGCCAGATATTTGATAGATGCCTGAATCTATCAAATAGCCTGAATCTATCATATATGTACCTACCTACCAGCGCGGACTCACAAGAGGTCCTACCACCAGTAATAACAAGAGGTCCTCCAGTAAATTCCTTAATTCCTGATATTTTGACGTCAGACCCCAGCTCAGAATGTTTGTTCAGAATGTTTGCTGTTTTTCTGTATTCTGAGCCCAGCTATTACTACGATCTGTTTATTCGTAATATTGACTATATTAATAAAGCGCCTACTATGCACGTTTCATCATATGTGTGTTCTTCGAAGGATTTTAGACGACCCTCGTCTATTTTTATGCGCAATCTTATTTAAAATGACTTTGAAATTGCGGTTTACGGCACTCCACACAGCAATAGCACTTACCAGATCCTTGGTCAGGTCTTTTCGATGCTACTGCTTCTTCTCAATCGTTTCACTCGTTACGGAGTGGTCGTGATCGTCATGTAGTGTTGGAGGGGAGGACTTGACGCGTCTCACGATGTCCCGCCATCTCTTCCTGTCCGAAACCATCCTACTACACTCATTTAAGGGACCTTCCACTGTGGTTTTGATTTGGCGGGCGAACTCCCGCGCGATTTTGGAACAACCACACTTCCCTCTATAACGAGGCGTATTAATTAAACGATATTCTTAATTATTTTGATAAATGTAATAAATATTTGTGCAGCGACACACATTTTTACTGGTTGTACGATGTCTTGTGAGTCCGCACGGGTAGGTACCACCACACTCGGCCTATTTCTGCCGTGAAGCATTAATGCGTTCGGTTTGAAGGGTGGGGCAGCCGTTGTAACTATAATGAGACCTTAGAACTTATATCTCAAGGTGGGTGGCACATTTACGTTGTATATGTCTATGGGCTCCAGTAACCACTTAACACCAAGTGAGCTGTGAGCTCGTCCACCCATCTAAGCAATAAAAAAAAAGATAGCTATTAAGGACGTAGATTTTCTATCGAAGCGTACTCAATTGTTTAATATATCTACCTCAAGTCAATATTTAAATGATGGCATGCGACTCAGTAACGAAGGCCTAAGCTATAAATGCCATTCTTCAAAGCAACCGAGACCATCTGGACTTCGAACCAGCTGACAGGTATCACGTGACTAGCGCGTGTTATTTGCACGGCTAAGTTCCAACATCCTGCCTATATCTGCCGTGAAGCAGTAATTCGTGACAGTTTTATCTGGTTTCATTAGGATAGCCATTGCCATCGTGACGGTATTCGCATTGTGATATGTACCGGCTCTAATAACCACTTAACACCAAGCATCAGACAGGCGATGTCTATTTGGAATCATTACGTTCATACACAGTGTGGTTCCGGAGATCTTTATTGCGACATGTCCTTTTTCAAATGATTATCACGAAGAGCATTCGGCAGTAGGCACCGGCTTAGTAATCAAATTTTGCCAATAATAATGCCAGTTGTAGTAATAAAATGCCTTTGGCATTGTTAAACAAAAAAGAAAAAAAAACAGGCGAGACAGTCGTAAACATGATCCCTCACGTAGCACACGTGATGATATCTCGTGATAAATACATAATGTAACTATATACATTGCGTATGAAATGATAAAAGATGTTACGACTACTACATTTCTCATACAATGACCCTTCGAGGTTAACGACCTGTGAGAAGTGCAGTAAATTATTATCTTCATCCTGTCAGGAGATCTATCCATACGAATTGCCTATTCGGTAGGCGGACACTTCGCTGTGCCTCTGGCATTTCTGAAATCTATGGGCGACGGTAACCACTCACCATTAGGTGTAAGGGCTTACTGCCAGGACTGTCGGTGTGTCGTATTTTTATCGCCTCTTGGTTCTTGTCGCCGGTTACGATCTCAAACGCACCATTGATTTTTGCTAAATACCCTCCTTCTTAGCCTACCTTATACCGTCTCGTATATCTGTTTGTGATATAAATAGCAAGGAGAAAGTCTTAGCTTAGGCTCGTTGAAATTGAATGCGGAACATCTTATCTGACGAACCCTACTAGGAGAAATGTAGCCCTTATCCTTTAGGCCTTAAAGCTCAACAGACGAGTCTTTGTACGTGGGATAAAATTATTTATATGGAATCAATAAAAAGCAGTGAATATTCTAAAATCCGTGCAGCGTTATTATTTAGTTAAATAATTTTAGTTACGGTGTAATAGCCGAGACTAATTGGACGAAAACTATGAACTTTCTCTTTGACGGGGAAAACTACAAACAGATTTCTTTACGCTATTTAAATCAACAAAAAGAAAAATGTAAATACCGACTCCCATATTATTATGAGTTAGAGTTGTGTGCGAAGTTTATACAAAGTCATTATACCTATATATAAACTAGTGACTTGTATAAATAAGACATAAGGAATCTTTAGAAATTTTCACATAAATTAAACATTTTGTTTTTGCTATTTTTCGACAAACAATTTAGCCCGTAAACACAGTCCGCTAGGTTTCTCCTCGGATCTTCTCAGTGGGGCGCTATTCCGATTATTATTATTATTATATTGTTATTATTATACATACATACTATTTATTTATACTTACATATGAAATGAAACTTAAAAATCTGTAAATGTTTAATAGAAAAAATAGACAGCAGTTAATATAATATTCAACCGTCCTTAAGGATCCACCCGAATCACTAACTCGCTTCAGACGCCTGCAACTCTAGCAGAAGGAGCAGACACAGATACCCTTTTTTTGACCAGGTCCGAACCTCACACGAGATATCCTGGGGGACCCGCCTGGGGGACCCGCTGGGTATGTGGGAGTTGACGGTCTGCAGATGTTGGGAACAGACCGCGGGCTCAACTATGTTTATGGGGCCCTACCCACTAAACGACCACCTTAAGATCCTTCACGCGACGTATCCATCTCCGCCCCCTCTAAAACAAGATACTAGAGATTAAAGTCGCCGTGGTTTAAAGGATAAGACTTCTGGTGCATTCGTATCGAGCGATGCAACGTTGTTCGAATCCCGAAGGCGGGTACCAATTTTTCTAATGAAATACGTACGTGAAGGAATAACATCGTGTAATAAAAATCAAACACGCAAAATTATAATTTGCGTGATTACTGGTGGTAGGACCTCTTGTGAGTCCGCGCGGGTAGGTACCACCACCCTGCGTATTTCTGCCGTGAAGCAGTATACTCCGTGTATTGCGTTTTGGTTTGAAGGGTGGGGCAGCCGTTGTAACTATACTGAGACCTTAGAACTTATATCTCAAGGTGGGTGGTGCATTTACGTTGTAGATGTCTATGGGCTCCAGTAACCACTTAACACCAGGTGCGCTGTGAGCTCGTCCAATCATCTAAGCAATAAAAAAATACCGGTCAACGACCTCTCATTGTGTTTACATAACCATTTATATTATTATCGTTTAGCATGACCTTGACCACGCTTAGCGGGCAATTCTTTGTAGCTCCATCCCATTGTATCGTTCAGATGTTACCTTGTGTTATTTGAAATTTATTTAATTCTGCAATATCATATACTTTGTCCATCTTTTTGTATTAATATTCGTTGAGTGATCGAGTTCTGATATCCGAGTCTCTAATTGAATACAGACCCCCGTATCTTTAGTCGTTCACACGAGCTTAACTCGATTCAACTCAACCTCCAACGCGCGTTTTGGCATGCTTAGTCGTAAAAATAAACTCCACTCAAACGTCCTTGGAAAATTTCCTAACCGGAGTGGAGTAAACGAACTGTCAAGTCAAGGTACGTCGCGACGTACTTTGAACGTTCCTCAAGGCTGGTTTTCTATCAATGTCCAAATAGTATGTGGACCGCAAATTGAAATATATGATATTGTTGTGCAATGGCCTGGATCTGTGCATGATTCGCGCATATTTTGATAATTTCATTTTGATAATTTTTATTAATAAAGTAAATAGTTCGAGGTTAGACTTTTGTTTAGACTCGTGGTTAGACATTTGAAACTCCTTATTTTATTTACCTACATAAGAGTAATATTTTGCTTACTACCTAATAAATAAAGTCAATGCGATTATAAGTTTTATTTATATAATAATAAACTGGTGGTTGTGGAAAAGCACTTCAACAACACGATGCAATCAAAATCACACAAAAACGGCGAATAAAAATACAAAACCGGGTCCGAAATCTAAAATAACAATGGGTTAGAAAATAAATAATACGCTTTCAAATTTACCGCACGCACACATATTTACGAATAAATGAGTAACTAAAACATCAAACAAGTTCAATGCTTCTAGTGTCAAACAGACAGCGGCAGCTTGACTTTGACATTAAACAATGACCATAGACTACAGAACTCTATGGGATTGATGCTAGCTTGATCAAATTTTCCTCAAACTGATGTTGTCGTGGTGACGCAATAACGCGACTCTACCTCACTCGAGGACAGTTGAGGAATATTGTAATGGTCGACTAAAAATACCAAACTCGGGTAAGTTTGGGAGGAATGTTCGAGCATCATCAGATGAGTTAAGAGTGGAGGATTATTTGACGAAACGTCTAAAGATACGGGCAAGAGACACTTCAATTTTAGATTCATTTATGTATTTTAAATAAATACGTTTTCTTTTTTGTTCTGTTACTAAATTGGTTTTGTTGTTGTGATGGAAAAAGAAATAATTTATGCCAAAATTTTATTACTAAAAACAATAGAATATAAACAAATTAAAAAAGTCGGTTGACAAGTCGACGAAGGGTACTTACTAATGAACGGGCTATTCCTATGTAAGTACGTGTAGATGTAGATTTCTCTTTTTAGGTAACGGGATTGTATTGGGATGTTCAATTCTTTGTTTATGAATTAAAATTCTAATCGTTTGATCGTTTTTATATAATAATTATTCTTCTTACCCTTATCTCACGTAATGTGGGGTTGATGAA